AGCCGGTGGCTCCGGGGGAGCCTGGTCTCCGGTTCTGCGCTCGCGGCCCCTGCATTACGCACGTGACGCGGGCGCCCGAGGCGGTCGGGGTGGGGGACCTGGAACCGGCGCCGGAGCCCAGGCGCTGCCCGCGTTTCGAAAGGAGCCCCAGGGGCTCAGAATAAAGTCAGGAGACCCTCGGGAGTCATGTCTGGGCCATTCGTGAAGGTTGACAGACCTGCGCGAAGCTGAGTGTTCCTTAAGAAAGTAGAAAGCGTACAGTACAGCATTTTAAAAAATGAACTTTTAAGTTCCTGCAATCGAGGGGAAAAGGTTAACACTTAATGCTTCTGTTGCCCAGCTTGACGGTTCAGAGACTCTGTTCTTACCCTGAACATGTTGTGCTTTCCTTTCCTCTGCCCTCCATGAATGTCGAGAGGTGGTGGAATGGGGGCCAGAAGATTGGCTGCGGTGCCAGTGTCGAAGCCTAAGGAAAGCCAGGAATCGTGATGTCTGGCTGGCCAAGGATGTGTGAAGCGCTGTTGAGTCTCAGCATTAAAACATGGTCAGCCGAGTGTCGTTTTTTAAAATTAAACTGGGCTGGCAAATCTGTGGCTATTCAGCTAACTAATTAAACTGCAATCATTTTTAGCACAGGTAAGAGAACAGGGTAACTTAGCAAATACTGTATCCGCTGTTAAGGCGTTGAAAAGCCAAGTCAGTTCTTGAATATCCTGTGGGTGCAAGCGGCAGCCTTACCCTGAACCTTACCCTGTTTTGCTGCAGGGTCCCACCTACACTTCTGGCCTAGACCAGGTCTCTGGGGCCGCTGGTGACCCCTGGTGGTTGGGGTACCTCCCTACCGCCTCCTTTCTCCCTGGGGTGGTTGATTTGGCTGGCTTCTTTCAGATCAGTTCTGATGCAGGTAATCATTAATTTAGCAAATATCTATAGGCTGGGCCCTTCAAATATGTTGTCACGTTGAATTCACAGCAAGCCTGTGATCTGGGGATTCCCATTTTGTGGATGAATAAGCTCAAAAAGCATAACTGACTTTTCCCAAGGTCCCCTCCTCTGGTAGGTGAAATGCGAAGATTATTTATTTATTCACTTTTTTAAAATATGTTTTTATTGATTTCAGAGAGAGGAAGGGAGAGAGAGAGAGAGAGGGAAACATCAGTGATGAGAGAGTCATTGATCGGCTGCCTCCTGCACACACACCCCCGACTGGGGATCGAGCCTGCAACCCCCGCATGTGCCCTGACCCGGAATCGAACCCTGATCTCCTGGATCCTAGGTCGATGCTCCACTATCAAGCCATACCTGCCGGGCAGGTGCCAAGATTCTAATACAGATCTGTCTAATCTCAAACAGATTTATGCCAGAGAAAGGAGAAAATTGTGTGCTCTGCTGAGTTGGGAGGTTCCTGATGGTTTTAACAAGCAAGGGGTATATTTGATTTGTGATTTGCACAAGTTGGAAAGGAAGAAGGTGAGTATCTGGGTTAAACTGAATCCAGGAGTCAAGAAGTGCCCGGCCAGTGTGACTCAGTGGTTAAGAGTCAACCTATGAACCAGGAGGTCACGGTTCGATTCCCCATCAGGGCACATGCGCGGGTTTCGGGCTCGATCCCCAGTCGGGGGCGTGCAGGAGGCAGCCGATCAATGACTCTCTCATCATTGATGTTTCTCTCTCTCTCTCTCCCTCTCCCTTCCTCCCTCTGAAATACAAAAAAATTTTTAAACATACTTAAAGAAGTTGAGAAGCATCTTCATTTAATTTTGCTTTGTTAAGGAGACTGTAATATATCGTGAGGGAGGCGATGAGGCAGTAAGTTATTTATTTAACATTACATGGAGCTGACAGCCAGGTGAGACATATTTACTGTGTATTTCTTAGATTCTGGTCAGTTGGAAGTAAACCTGCTTACTGAACTTTTCCTCTAGAACTTCCTTACACCATTTTGCCCTTTTATTTTTTATTTACTTATTTATTTTAATTTTATTTTATTTTTCAATTGCAGTTGGCATACAATATTATATTAGTTTTCCTGTTTTGCCCTTTTAAAGAATATTAGTGAAAGTTAATTTCAGAAGGATCCAATTTCTCCTGGGAAGGTGTGTCCAGTGAAGTGGTTAGGAAAAATATAAAGACTAAAAGGTATTTATTTGTAATAAGTGTTACTAAAATGATCAGATTTTACATAACATAGTTAATAAAACATTCCGAAAACACATTGTACGACTATAATAAACTGAATCCAAATCATTGCCTAATAAAAAGTTTTGAAGAACTTTCAAAGGCAGAATGTTACATTATTTAAGTCTTTTCACAGCACTCTTCCTTTTTAAAAGGGTTTAAATCACTTTAGGTTTATTAAGACCATTAGAACAGGTTTAATTTCTGGTCTGCTGTAATAAAAGGAATAATAGGAGAATTTTCCTGTATTTTTGGGGATTTCCAAATTTGCCATATGTTTGTTCATCTTTTTTGGTGCCCATAACGAAATACTTTTCTAGGTTTCACATGGGCTTGTGGCAAAAAAACATGTGAACTCAGGGAGTGTCAGGGAAGCTAATGAGCACATCTGTGTATTGGATCTTTTACTTTATAAACAAGCCAAAGGGATTTCTTGTCTTTGGCCAGAGCATGTGTTCATGTTTTCAAGATTTTAGTTTACTGCACATCGTGTACTTCCTTTTAGTAACCTTTTTCCTCATTGCAAAAGTAATATAGATTCATGTAGAAAACTTAGAACATAGAAAAGCAAAACTAAAAACAAAAATTGCATAGAAATGAACCAACCAGAGATAATCACTGTTATTAATATTTTGGTGTATAACCTAGGAATCTTTATTGATTCATACACATACACACTTATCACATACTTTTTAAAAAACCAAAATGGGATCATACTGTCCTTGCATGTTTGTTTCACAAACATGCCACGGCAGGCAGCCTTAGGGCCAAATTTTATGCACATTCATTATTATTTATTTAGGATTAACACTAGAAATGGAATTACTGAGTCCAAGGGCTTGCAGATTTTTAAGGTTTTTGATATATATTATCAAACTTGGCCTTTAGTACATTAAGTTAACTTTTTAAGATGTAAAGGTCACTAATAACTACCAAATATAAAAAATAACCAGTATTAGAAAATGCTGTTTGACCATATGGCACAGAATTCTTTATACCCTGACCAGAAATGGGGTCATCTCTTCACATTATTATAATAGCTATAATAATAATAGCTAATGTTTATCCAGCATTTCCCCCATGTGCCAGGAACCTTTAGAGTCTTTATATCCTCAAAATAATCCTAGGAGGAAGGTTCCATTATTCCATTATCACTATTACTACTGCCTTTACTACCCTCGTTTTATACCCGAGGAAACAGAAACGCAAGAGGCCCTGAAAGTTACACAGCGAGTAAGCACCGAGCCAAGAAGCAGTCCGTCTGCAGGGCCCACTCTCAGTCACTGAACTCTGCTGCCTCTCAAATCTTACGGGATATGTTTTCTCATTTCTGTGTTTTAATAAAATAGTGGATACACATATATAGCTGTTCTGAATGCCAGTCTCAGAAAACTGGTTTCAATAGGTAACCCCACTAGACACCACAAGACCTGGCCCCTTCAGGTTTCCCCTGAGGTTATTGTATGTGAAAGATAAGAAACATCCTACTCATATACTTTTCAGAGTAGGACGTTCTGATAGAAAGTCTCAAAATTCAGTGTCATCCCTGGGTAACTACCTTGTAAGAATATTATGAATGCCATTTTACACCAGTCAGCTATGATTCGCTATTGTATTACCTAGCCTTGCACAGTAAGCAGTTTATAAATACTTATTGAAAATGCAGATATTGGGAGAAAAGCTCTATTGTGGCATCACTAAGGATGATAAATATACAGAGATCCCCAAATTAAGTATATGAGGAAGTATATACTGTTCTGTGTGCACAGCTTATTAATTCTTTGTAAGATTGTTAGTGAAAGTTAACTTAGAAGAATCTAGTTTATAATTCTTTGTAAGCTGTGTACACAGGACAGTATACACTTCCCCCCCGTTCAATTTGGGGTGTCGGCCTTTGAGGGATATTATCAGGTAGAGATCCAGGGGTGTACATTAGGATTCTGAGGAATCCTGAATTATGTCAATAACAGGGTCCGAGACGAGTCTCGAGAGAGGAGGTGGTCTTCAAATACTAAAAAAATAAGCTTGTATCTATGTGTATTTTACATTCCTAATTTCATTTACTTCTTACAAAATCTCTTTATAGAGATGTTACCTCCTGTTGGGTTAGGATATATGCTCAGTGCTGTAACACATATATTAGAAAAATAACAAGTGGCTTAAACGAGATAGAAGTTTATTTCTCTCTCCTATAAAGCCCAAGCTGATGCGGTGGCTGGGCGCTGTCAAGTGGTCAGGGCCCTGACTCTTTTATCCTGTTGCTCTCTCACGCCCAGGGTATCACTGTCATCCACACGGACTAAGTTGGCTCACCCCACATCCGAATTCCAGCCCCTGGGAAGGCAGAAAGGGGAAGGGGAAGTCCCTTTTGCTCACAGCCCACTGACCAGAAGGCAAGCCCAAGGCCACATCCAGCCCCAAGAAAGGCTGAGAAATGTCGTCTCTGCTGGGTGCCCAGGTGCCCGACAATTTTATGCATTTATTTTTAGGATAAAGATTTGAATGTGATTATAGATTGGGGCAAAGGAATAGTGTAAGATAAAATAGGCTACAAATATTAAAAACAAAGCCATGATTGAGAACCTATCTTTCTTTTGTCTTAAAGAAAAAACAGATTTTTCTGTCCTGGACCCTGTTTACTGTTTCCAGAACGACTTCTCAGGCTTTTCCTAAGCAAGTGGTATTTCCAAGCATTGTGGCTTAGAGACTAGCTCACACCCACGACTTATTTTATCATTGTGAAATGAGGAACTACCCGTAGAATTGATTTTGGACCTTACACGTTTGCTTCATTTCATTTTAGTGAGTCATCAGTAGCCTAGCATTTGAGTGACATTTTCTTTCTAGTCAACATTTTATGTTTCTTGTTCGTAGACTGCAACCACATTTCAATAGCAGTTTCTGGGAATTCTCTGGTGCTGGTGTGAAGTTGAAGTTGTTAACGTTTTATCTTCTGTTGTTCCCATTTGAGGCCAACTCAGGATCTCCTAAGGTGTTGTGTTTTTAAAAGTGTCTCCTCTGTCTACCGTCCTGGACATGGAGGTCTTCCCATTTGGTCATTACTTAAGGATGGCTTCTCCAAAGCTCAGATGACCATCTTACTTGGACTGTCCCCCGGCCATCCTTGTTTCCTCTGTGTACCGGGCAGAAACAGTTTCAGAAAGAGCAGCCCCAGGAAGGGAGTTGGAAAAGATTGTTCACAGTCCTTGCAAAAGAAAGTAATTGGTTCCAGAATTTTTCTGGTGGACCAAACCAGTAAAGAACCTTTTATAAGAACCATAAATTACCTTTCTAATTTCTATCAATGCATTTCTGGTAAAGGAAAAATAAACTCAATAATAAGTTAGTAATACAGATAATATGCACTTGTAATTATGTACAGGTGAGAGTGTAAATTCTCTTGTTACACTAATGAAGTGTAAACGCTCCTGAAGCAACCAGCAACTCAGTAGCTAATAACTGCGGAATGAGTACTCGCCGTTTCCTAACCTCAGAAACTGGACGTTAGTACCAGCTGGTAGTAAAAATGAACCTGAGAGCTCTTTTGGCTAAGGTACCCCGTATAAAACCAGCATACAAAATCATTGAGAGGCTATTTTAAATATGTATTGCCGTTTCTTTGACTCGCCTACTCTGCTCCCACTGGGGTTTCCTTCACGTGGGGAAGGTATCAGACATGTCGCGTAATGATGGCCTTCGTGGTGCACACACCTGAAGTTCACGCTCACTGCTCCAGGTGAGCACAGCTGCCCCCGCAGACTGCGCCCCTCAGCACACACCCCAATGTGCAGGCTCCGTCCAGCCCCACTACACCCCCCCCCATAATCTCAGGCTTCCACCGCTGCACAGATCTCTCCAGGCTGCTCCCCGGACCCCCCTCCAAGCAGAGCTCACTAGACCGTGGTGCCGAGCCTTTGGTTTTAATTCACTTCGTTTGCATGGATTTTTCCTCCTTGTAGCATTATGATGATTTTAAGGGTAACCCAGACAGCCCGAGTTGCGCCTTCCCAGGACAGCGGGTGATTCTCCTGGTGCTGTTCTGTCACATCCCACTCATCTCACTCGCCGTCTCAAGCATGTGAGCCCTCTGCTGTCCACTTCTCGTTATCTTTATCTCCAGACAGGTCTTGGCGTCTGACCGTGTTCCCTGGAATTCATGACTTCATGTCACTGTTCCAGGAAACGTCCTCTGATGCTATAGAGTCGGTTCCTTTCCAAGGACTGCACTGGTGCAAGTACCGAGGCAGGAGGGTACTTTCAGAACACACAGCAAAACCTCATTCAGGTCCCACTTCTCTTGCTCTCCGTGTCTTCCATTTACAGGGCAGCTCCAGATGTACCTAGAAAATGTCCCAGGATTTTATAGGAACAAGGGAATTACTATACCCCGGGACTCAGGAAATGTATCCTACAAAAAGCTTTGGCGAGAAGAGCTGACTCATAACACCCCGTGGTTTACACAGTACTTTAAATATATCGTTTCATTTTCCGACTACCCTTTGAAGTAGGTCCTTAGACCGCTTTGTAGATTCGGGCAACATATGTTTAGCAATTCTTAGCTGACTACAAAACATTTCATAAGAGAGGAAACTTAGGGAGAGGAAAGTAATTTGTCCAGCATCATTCGGAGCTGAGATTAGGCCTGAGCCCAGGTCTCCTGAGTCTGAGATGTGTTCCCTTCCCATCACACCATGCAGATGAGGTTGGATGGCATGTAAAGGATGGACAGCCCTGGGAGGGCATCCGGCAGGGAGAGAACCGCAGCGGGCAGGTGTGCAGGGCATAGCAGCTGCGTGGGAATAGCGGGTAAGTCAGGTTCCTGAAGACTCAGCAAAGGCGAATCATTGGGCATCAGATGTGCGAGGTGGAGGTCAGGCCATGGAAGGTCATTGAAGACTGTGGCCTTTAGTCTACAGACAGAAAGAGGCCGTACAATTTGATCTGGGAACTGGTTGGTTGAATATGTGATATAGAAACTGTTCACAGCTGTTATTTTCACACATGCTTTTAGATTGTTCAGAAAAGACAAAACCGTCCTTTAGTTTAAAAATAAATATTTTCAAAAGAGGTATAGAATCCGTAGCTCATACCAGCCTCTGAGTTCCGTACAGTTGTCCCTTGTCCCTCTGTTTTTAGGAGTTCTGGGAACATGTTTTCATGCCTATGGACATAACCTGATTTTAATTTCCTATATTGTTGGAGGATTTTTACCTTATTGAAACTGGGGAGTTTTGTGTAGTTTTCTTTTTGCTAAGCTTTCCTAGACTATTCTGTAATGTGGATTCTTAAATTGTTAGTATGAGGTCTTTTCTTAGATTAGGATTTTTTTCTATTACTTCATTTTTCTTTGTGTCTTCATCTGTCCTTTCCTTTCTAGAAAGTGGGGGGTGATGCCATGTGGAATGTGTGTAGTTATAGCACAACAAATTAATTTTCTGGGATGATAGAATATTTTTGTTACACATACTCATTTTGAGCCCTGGCTAGTTTGGCACAGTGGTTAGAGCGTTGGCCCGCACACCAAAGGGTCACGGGCTCAATTCCCCGTCAAGGGCACAGGCCCCGGTCGGAGCGCGTGTTGGAGGCAACCGCTCGATGAGCCTCTCTCACATTGATGTTTCTCTCTCTCCCTTCCACTCTCTCTGAAAAGCAATGGAAAATATATCCTCAGGTGAAGGCTAAAAAAAAGACGAGTTCTGGGTAGTAAACAGCAGTCTGTTGACAAACTTGCCTGCATTGAAGCTTGTCTTTTCACTGGCCCTCCTCCTGATGCAAGAGGAGCCCCTTCTCCTAAGGCCAGTCCCCTACCTGTCGTCTGGGTGCCATCCCCTCTGGCATTCTCAGGGACAGGTCCCCTCTGGCGCCATCATTCACACCCTGTCAGATCTTTGACTTTTTATCTTGATTGGTTCTTTCCCGTCAGCCCTAAACCATGCTCATGAAACCCCCCTCCCCCGAATGGCCCCCTCTGGCTGCCTGCCTCACTGTCCCCACTTTATTACTAAAACATTTGCAATCAGTGGTGTGTGCCCCACTTCCCACGGTGACCTGCCTCCCGCCCCCAGCTTTTCCCTGAAACTTTTCGGCCTTTATCTCGCCTGCCCTCTCTGCCACGTTCCATACTGTTGAGCGACTCCTGTAAAATCTCCTCCCTCGCCTTGGTTTTCATGATAACGTGGCTCCTCCGCTGCTCTCTCTGTTGACCTGGTGACCGGCCGTGCCCTCACCTGCCCCCTTCCTCCCCTGCCCTTGCCGGTGCCCCCTGGAGGCCCGGGCTCAGCCCGCCTCCCTCCCTACGCTGCCCACTCTCTCTGAACGGCCTCGCCCATTCCCGTGGCCTCCCTGACAGTCCCCATGCTGAGGACTTGCCCCTAAGTCTACAGCCCTGTCCTCGCCTTTGAGCCCTGGGTCTCTCTGTGTACCCATGCGAGGGACTCTCAGGCTCCTCAACCGGAAAATGTCCAAAACTGGGTTATATGCCCCTCACTGACCAGCACCACCAGCAGAATGTGCGAATGAGAGAAACTCTTCTTGTGTTCAGATGTTTTCCATTGAATGACAGTCCTCTCCACCCAGTTACTCAAGCCAGAAGTAACCCTGGGGGTGAGAGATTCATTTACCCTTAGTGTTGTAATTAAAAGCCACAATTGTGTAGATCTGATTTATCCTTGGAGTCTTAAAATGTTTGTTTTTGCCTCAGTTCCCAAAGGTTCATTTTCTCAGGAATCTTTGTCCTTCATAAAATAAATTAATGTTGAAGAAATTCTGTACTTGTAAACGTAACCATTGTTTCTCTGCGGCGGACAAATGTAAGTGGACTCAGAACTGCTTAGATCCTTGATAATAACAACTCCTAACATTATTATGGAGATCCGCTATAAGCCAGGCACTGGTCCAGACACCAGGTGTAATCATTCACTTGGTTTTGCAAAATTCCCACGAGCTGTAGGTACTGTTACCATCCCTGTTTCACAGAGAAGGAAAGGGAAGTTCAGAGAGGTTAGGGAATGGGTGCAGCAGGACGTCCAGCTGCCAAGTAGAAGAGGCAGGATTTGAACCCTAACATACTGGCTCTGGACATGAGCTCCTAACCTCCGGCAATAATACTGTCTGGCAAACAGCTTGCATTCCTCATAGCAGTTTTTGTTCTTTTTTAAATATCACCATTTCTAAAAAAGTTAAAAATACTTTGACTTACCAAGACATGGCATAATTTTAAATATGTACCTTGAGTATACATATGCAAGTTATTCTTAGACTATTAAGTAAGTTTGCTAATACAGTAACTAAGTAGTCACAAGAAATAGATCTATAATTTTTATTTTATATTGCTTTTATTTTTTAAAGACCTTTTAGATTTTCTTTTACTCTTTTGAAACATAAATAATAGCCATAGCAACATTTATCTTCTTTTAAGTGTCCTCTGCTTATGTATTTCATAATCAGCATCTTTATCATTTTATCTTAGAAATACTTGGCTTTTCAGTGTCAACACAAATCATAGTCTGTTGCTTTGTTTCTTGAAAGTGGTTAAGCAACCGTATAAAGCTCATAGGAAGTTGATGACTCATGTAACGGAAAGCACTTACTAATGTGACTTTTGTCTCAGTTGTCAAGTAGTCTGAGTTTGTTTCCATGGTAACCCATCAGTATAACAAATTGTCACGAAATAACTGCCACTTTTTTTTTGTTCGCGTGTGTAGTTTAGACAGCCTTCTAACAGCTGTGTGTGTGTGTGCATTAAGGATATTTTTATCACAAAAAAATTCTGAGTCATTGCCTTAGGCACAGAAAAATTTATTTAGAGAAATTGTTTAATACTCCAGGGCTATTGCTTTGATATTACAAAATCTAAAAGATGATTTAAATTAACATATCTAGTTCAACTTGACTTCCTGTTCGTGAAGGCCACCGTCAACGATTCTTTAAGCTTATAGATGTTTAAAATCCATTTACAGTATTGGTTCATTCGAAAGAATACTGTATGTTATCATAGGAGAATCTGTCACAAGCAAGGCGGGGCGGAGGGAATGAGGACCTCGTCTGAGGGATGCAGACGTAGGGACAGGCGGAGGAAGCCAGTTCAGCCGGTTCTTGCCAGCCCCTTCCTTGGGCGACAGTGGCCTAGGATGGGGAGTGGCAGACACCCAGGGCAGCCCCGGTGGGTCCTACAGGACGCCAGGCTTTCACCTGAAGACCGAGTTGGGAAAGATTCTTAGAGGAGGTAGTGACTAAACTGAAGTTCAAGTTAAACTGGTGACTAAGGGAAGTTGAAAGGGAGAGAAAACATTAAGAACAATGGTATACAAATGAGAAGTAATGTGATGCAAATGGGGAATGACCACAGTATGACACAGAAGGGTCCAGAGGTGAGGCTGAAGGTGGGCAGGGCCTCATCGTGGAGATGCTGTATGAAGGAGCTTGGACCAGACCCTCCAAGATGTGGGGAAGCGGGGAAGGACTTGAACAGACGAATGACATCCTCAACTTTGTATTTTAGGAGTTCTCGGGTAGCAGTGAGGAAGGTAGATCTGAGCAAGGACAGTTTAGGAGGCTGTTGCCGTATTTCAGAGAAGAGCTATTGATTAGGGTCGTGGTCAGACACAGGAAGGGGGCTGATTCAGGAACAGCTGCGAAGTAACAGAGGCAAGACTTGGTAGCCGGGACTGTTGATCTGTGGCCCCTGCATCACATTTATTCAACTCAGTCAGCAAATGTCATTGCGTGTGGATTGTGGCTGGCAATGTCCTGTCCAGAGTGTTATGCTGGGCTCTCATTCATTCCAACCTAACCCCTTGGCTCATTAGACTTTCTTCCTCTCGTGGAAGAACCTCTTCCAGAGCCCAGCATATATGCCAGCCGACTGCTTAGGAGCAGTATTCATGTGTCCAGGTAGCGTCTTCACCCCCAGCAGATAGGTCTGAGCTTATTTATGCCTTGGTTGGGTGCAGCTATACAGGTCCAATGCATTTTATCCGTACAATGATTTGGTTTTGCTTTTAGCTCTATTGAGGCATAATTGGCAAATTCATTGAATTCAAGCTAATTAACATATCCATTACCGCACATGGTTTACCTTTTTTTTCTTTTCTTTCTAGAACACTTAAGATCCACTTTCTTAGCAAATTTCAAGTATACAATACAGTATTGTTAACTAAGGTCACCACGCAGTACGTGAAATCTCTGGAACTTACTGCTCTTGCATAACTAGGGTTTGTTTTGTTTGTTTATTGATTTTAGAAAGAAGGGAGAGAGAGAGAAACATCGATTTGCTGCTCCACTTACTGAGGCACTCCCTGGCTGCTTCTTGTATGGGCCCTGACCAGGGGCTGAACCTGCAGCCTTAGCGTAGCCAGCGGAGCTGCCCGGCCAGGGCGTGTAGCTGAATTTTGTGCTTTTGGACTTCTGTCCTCTCCATTTCCCACACTTCCCAACCCCTGGCAACCACTCAGCTGCTGTGAGTTTGACTATTTTAGATTCCGTTTTGGTGAGTTGTATGTTTCTAGGAATTTATTGATTTCTTCTAGGTTGTCCAATTTGTTGGCATATCATTGTTCATAATAGTCCCTTAGAATTCTTTTTATTTCCGAGGCACTCACTGCAGTGTCTCCTCTTCCATCTGTGCTTTTGTCTCCTCTCTTTTTTTTCTTAGTCTAGCTACGGGTTTGTGGATTTGTAATTTTTCCCCCCTAAAAAAAAAATCAGCTCTTATTTTTGTTGATTTTTTTTCTGTTCTCTGTTTGATTTATGTCTACTCTGATCTTTATTATTTCCACCCTTCCGCTAAATGAAATAGCCATTTCTCTCTCTCTCTGGGAATCCTTCTTCCAGCGTAGACTCTGTTTTGTCTAAGATGCTTTTCGCTATTGGTTTGTGTCTCTTTCATATGAAGAGACTTTCCTCCTATTTAACTACAAGGCAACAGAAGTTGCTTAGAAGCTTTGCCCACGTGGAGAATGGTTTTCGACTCAGGCTTTTACTGCAAGTCCTGCTGCTTTCTGCCTTAAGTGACCTTGAGTTGACCTCCCTCCTCGTGCCCCATTTCCCTGATCTGTAAAGTGGACGCCAGTCATCTCCCGGGGTGGTTCTGAGATTAAATAACGGGCAGTAAGCTGTCTGTACTTGGCCCTGCTGCTGCTCTTACAGCTGCAACAAGGAGTGAACCTGTGGCAGCTGTTCCCTTTGGAATAAGTATCTGTTTATATTTCTGTCTCTTGCACTAACTGTAAACTGCAAGCCCTACATGTTTAGAAATACCATCACTCTCACCTTCACATTTTAAACACCTAGCACATCTCCAACACACCTGAAATAAATGCATATTGTGTTTTGAATGAATGGTGAAGCTGCAATTCATATTGATTGAGTTGATAAGTAAATTCGCTTTTGCTCGGTGTCTGTGGAGAATTGAAACCTGCAAAGATTTTCCAGTCCCCTTGCTAGGAATTCGTTTGGAGTTTCACTGTTTTCCGGATACTGGCTCTTCACACACCAGTGTTGCGCGTAGACTTGGGCGCGAGCGCGTGTGCCCGTTTATCGTGCCATCGGTAATAGGTCACTAACCGGTTCTCTTTTTCTCCCCCTCAGGGAGGTGGTGCAAGCAAACTGTGTCCACTGGAGGAAGAAGTTCTCGTTTATGTGCAAAATGAGTGCCAGCGCCGCCACAGGCATCCTGGATCCCTGTGTCTACAGGGTGTCTGTGCGCAAGGTATAAAAATAGCCCGCCCTGGCTCCCCTTTCAGGACCCATAATTAGCCCCCTCGTCCCTGACGCACTTTATTTAGCTCTGCTTTATCCTTCGAGCTGTTATATGCATCCCACTTCCCACTTGCAGCACAAATTCAAATCACTATGACAACTATCAAGAGGAACCCAAAGTTACAGATTAAGATATTATTCAGGAGCCTTATCTCACTATCTAGATACGTATAAGCATTAACCTTATTTGCGTTATTGGC